GATTACTGTCTGTTAATGCTGAAACGACATCACGTCAGAAATAATCACCGTCTGAATAAATAACTCTGGGCAATGCTTTTTCTGATGAGTCTTCAGAGAACCTGGCTGGTTGAAGCTCTTCCCACAGGAACGGCAGTGGAACGGCTTCTCTCCAGTATGAACTCGCTCATGTGCTTTCAGAGATCCTGACTGATTGAAACTCTTTCCACACCGTAAGCACTTGTAGGGCTTTTCTCCGGTGTGGATCCTTTGGTGCCGTTCCAGGTCGTAGGTTTTGGAAAAGGCTTTCCCGCACTCAAAGCACACGTGAGATCTCACCGCAGCGCCTCTCAGCTGCTCTTCTCTGCTGCTCTCATTCGCGTGGATTCTCAGGTGTGTTTTTAGCACTGATGCTGAAGGCAAGTTTGTTCCACACTGAAGACAGTTCAACGATCGGACTCCAGAGTGAGGACACAGATGGGTTTTCAGACCCACTGCCTGTGTGAAACGCTTCCCACACTCGTGGCACGTGAAGGGCTTTTCTCCCGTGTGAATCCGTGTGTGTCTCTTAAGGCTTCCCGTCTCCGAGAAACTCTTTCCACACTGAAGACAGGTGAAGGGCTTCTCTCCGCTGTGGATTCTCTGGTGTCTCTTAAGGCTTCCTTTCTGCGTGAAATCCTTTCCACACCAGAAACACGAGAAAGGACTCTCTCCATTGTGAATTCTGACGTGAATCAACAGGTTTCCTTTACGTGTGAAGGTCTTCACACAGCGAGGGCAGGTGAAGGTCCTCGGAGTCCGTTTGCGTGACTTTTTCTTTTTAGTCTGTGAGTCACTGAAAGACCTTTCTGCAGTTATGAAATAATGAGGCGTCTGATACTGGTGTCTCTCCTCTACTTCATTCAGTTCTTCACTTTCTTCTTTCACTTCGATCAGGACTAAAACGAGAATATCAAACTGTGAAAAATATTTTCAAGAAAGCCATTTACATTTAATCATTTAGAAGATGCTTTTATCCAAAGCGGCTTACAAATGAGCGATCAAACTAACAGAAAAGCAACAATATATGAGTGTTGTGACAAGTCCAGGTTAATCTACACTGTAAAAAATTCTTGTGATTTTAACAGTAAAAGACTGTAAAAATGCTACATTAAAAACCTGTAAACTGGTTAACAGTAAGTTTCCATATTATATTCGGTGAATAAAAGTAATTACATTTAATGTGATTTTACAGTAAAATACTGTTAAAAAATACGGTTTTTGGAAGTGA